TCTCTCTCTCTCACACAAACACACACACACACTCTCTCTCTCTCACACACACACACTCTCTCTCACACACACACACTCTCTCTCACACACACACACACACACGCACGCACGCACTCACTCACTCGTTTTTGTGAAAAGTGGGGACTCTCTATAGGTGTAATGGTTTTTATACTGTACAGACCGTATATTCTATTGCCCTACACCAACCCTACCCCTAAACCTACCCCTCACAGGAAACCTTAGATTTTCTAAAAACTTAATTCTGTATGATTTATAAGCTTTTGTACCCGTGGGGACCACAATTTAGGTCCCCACCGTGACACGAGTCCCCATGAGTCTGTGTGTATTCAGGTTTAAGTCCCCACCAGGATATATAAACCAGTACACTCACACACACAATCGGCATTCCTAATTGTTTTGAAGTAACTTGGACTGCTGTTGCGATAAACAGGAACTAAAGCATTTCTGTAACACTTTAAGATCATCAAAAAAAAACTTTAGCAACTAATCTCAGCCGAGCGTCCTGTTCAAGGACTTCAGCATCTCCATAAAAACCCCATTACTCAAACACACACACACCCATTCCCCAGCCATCGCCTGTCATCTCCACGGCAACTGAGCGTGGCTGTTTCCATGGGGATGAATGTGTGACGGGTGTTTCTATCGCCGCCTGACCTTTACACATGCACCACATATGAACATAAAACTCAAACCAGTATGAAGAACAACAGTCGTCTATTTCTGCATTGCTTTCTTCAACAAACGAGCCGAGTTGTTTTGCCCGTTTCTTAAGTAACGGCTCAATCTGATTATCGAAATAAGAGCCGGCACTCTGCCGTCTATTTTTGCTCTTAACACTCACATTTCTGTCTGCTAACAGGACTCATGTGAGACGCAAACAGACAGAGTGTGTGTGTGTGTGTGTGTGTGGGCCGTCAGGAGTTGTTTACAGAGCTGATAAGACAGCATTTGTCCAGGACGGATTCAGAACCACCGTCACCCATCAGTCTGTCTTCAGAGCTCAAACCCATCTGTGAATCAAGCAGTGTTGGAGACTGAAACACAGGTTTTTGGAATAGCAGCATCATTTTGTCTAGACTACCAGATTTGACAGAATAAGAACACAAGTAACTCTTTTTAATCATCTAACTAAAACAAGCTACACATTAATTTTTAAGGAAATATAATGGGCGATATATTGCGTCACCAAAAATGAATGAGGTCATGTACACAAGTCAATATATTGATTATTGCGACAGGCCTACTAGTGAGTCTGCACCTTCAAACGAGACACCCGTGGGAGCCGCTTGTAAACGCTCCAGACACAGCTGTGCTGAGCAAAACAACCCGACACTAACATATGCATCAGTGCATGACCAACAACTAATAGGACGGACAATATAGAGCATGCTCCAGTTCTAGAAATGAAAGCAGGCACTGCAACAACATCATGCACAATATGTATCCTTCTGCAGAAGTAAATCTAATCTCTGAACAACCACATGATGAGACAGACCTTCATAATATAACAGCTCAAGATCAAGATTCTCTCACACACACACACACACACACACACACACGCGAGTCATGAGAACCACATTAGCTTACTGAGATTACTAGAAAAAATGTAGGAATGACCTCATTTTTGGATTTATTTATTTATCTGTCTCACTTTTACTTCATCACCTATATTTACTTAGATGTGTTGGATTATTTGATCTATAGAACAGTGTATGTGTGTGCATAATGGGTTAATGTATGCATTTGAGATTTTTATGATCAGTCAGATTTTTTTTGGTACTTGTGTATTTGTTTATGTTCATATAATTTATACTTTAAGTACAATGTAAGTACATATATATATATATATATATATATATATATATATATATGCCTATATATAGACTAAGCTAGACTCTTATTTGGCCTCTGTCGACTGTTATATATTGAAAGATTTTGGAAAACTAAAAATACAGTAAATGACTTGCAGTTACACATTTTATTTACATAATTTATACTTTGTAATTATTTACAATATAGCAAATCTTATAGCCTGATTGTTTACATTAAGGTCACACGTAAACCATCCAAAACCGCTAAAGCTGCTTTGAAATAATGTGTATTATTAAAAAGTGCAGTGCAAATAAAAATATTACTGTGTGGTTTATCTAATCTGATGCCTTGTTCTTAATTACATTTGTTATGGCTTTTTTTGTATTTGAGATTCAAACACTGAATCTTCTTGCATTGTACACAGTGACAATATAATATAATCCGTACACCAAAACTATCTTGAAAATCAAGCAAATTCAATAAAAGCTGCATTCCTGTGCTCAAGTTTCAATAAAAAAATGCTTATGAAATGCAAAAAAAAAAAAGTGCACTATATATCATTAGTGCTAACCCCAATATACGACTAGGGCTTCACAATGAACATATAAAACAGGCCGTCGTCAACTATATTACACGAGTGAATGCCAATGAAAATAAAAACAAACATTTACGTACAGTAGTTCGCACGAGTATGAATGAGTGCTGAAGATGGAGGAATGAGGCAAGAAACAAAACACAAACTCGCAGAAAACAATTACTAAAATACAAAATAAGAAACAAAACAAACTTAAAAAGGAGGCGAGGTAACAATCCTCCTTTGGCAGGTTAGGTGTACGAGTACTTATAAAGACGCTTGTGTTTCAAACGTAATAGTTGCGTAGTTTTTTTTATTATTAAGAGTTCCCGATCCCTTCGTTTGTGTTTCAAGCACCCGTCGAGCTACGAATGAACGACCGCAAACGGCGAGCGACAAAAAGTTCACAGTATTCACACGTAATACAAATGTGTCGGCTTGCAGGTCACATGACATGACGTCAGAATTCATAGACACGCCCCTTTTTTTGTTTCTGTACGATGTATAAACAGGAGTCCAGTTGCGAGCTGCGCGATAGTGTCCGACTGTGCGTAGAAACCGAACAAACTTTCATTCGATAATTGAGCACAAATCTTCACCTTTTTTCGTTTTCCTTCCATTTTGTTTTTCGCATAGTGTTACGCAATGAAATACAAGTTACGATATTAATGGACGAACAATGATATTCGTGAGACATCCTTATGTGTTTATTTCCACGGCGTAAAAGAACCTGAATTTGTCAATCCGTTAACGGATGCGGCTCACGATTTGCACGGCCGAAACGTCGCCTGTTTGTATTTGCGAGTTTCCCGACGAGCTGAATGGAGGAAAAACAGACGTAAAGTGCTGGGTTTCCTTCGCGGGACAGAGTCATGTCTTCAGCCGCGCTAGCTCACGTTCCGCTTGCGTTTTTCACTTCCCGTTCTTCACGCATCGCAATTACGTTCTTCGTCAACAACACTTAACTTTCTCTCTCGAATGCGCAACTACTTTCTTTTTCCTCCTTTCTTTCTCAGCGCTGGCCGAAGGGTCGTCCGTCCCAAGTCACGAATTTCTGATCGACACATAATTTAGCCTGGATGGCGCTTCCGGGCGCAAGGCATGCTGGGAAGGGGCTACATCATGGAGTGCAGAGCGTGTGTTTGCGCGAGATGAAAGTCCTCCAATAGGTCCAGTGTAAACAGTCAGAAACCAGTGGACTGGATTTCTGGCTGAGCTGGTTTACCTGAACGAACAACACAATTGAGTTAAAAATATTAACTACTACATGGAATCGGCAGACTTCATACAATTTATCTGCTCTGTAAAATGGATTTAAACAAGCTAAAGTGTGTTAAACGCAAGACTTTGAGGGGGTTTCCTCACCGTCTCCGGCTCCGCGGTCCAGCGACGGCATTCGGACCGCTGTGGGAGGCTTGTAGACGAGATCGCTTGACATTTTATCCACTGGAAGAGGTTTTCTTAATTTCTTTAGGAGTTTGTAGTGATCGGCTTCAATGTCCTACAGCATCAGATCAGAAGAAACACATTAAGATTTACTGTTTACAACTACATCTTAACTGGTGAATCTCACAGAAAATATGTACAGGTCACAATTTAGCCACAGAAAGAGAACAGAAAGGGGGAAAAAAAAAACAGCAACGACAGAACAATCATAGAAAAACTTAATAATAATAATAATCATTATGATTATATACACATCACAGACCTCTTGTTTGCACTGATCATTTATTTGTTTTTATTAAACCAGCATAAATTATAAGCTGTACAACAAATAATACTGTAGTAGTGTATTAACACTTTTTATAGCACATTTACAATATAAAAAAACTTGCATCAATGTCATAAAAGAACAGGCGAGAAGAAACACTGATACATTTATTTATTTTTTTATATTAAATCAGAAAAGAAAAGTCCTTTTGACAATTTATTGCATTCTATTTTTGTGCATGAATGGACACATGCTTTATTGTCAAAATAATGTTAACATTTAAAAAAAGTAAATAAATAAGTAAAAAAAATTAAAAAATAAAGAGGCTTTAATTTCTTAGTGCAATACATTATATTAGTGACCCTGGAGCACAAAAGCAGTGTTAAGTCGCTGGGGGATTATTTATTTTTTTATATTAAATCAGAAAAGAAAAGTCCTTTTGACAATTTATTGCATTCTATTTTTGTGCATGAATGGACACATGCTTTATTGTCAAAATAATGTTAACATTTAAAAAAAGTAAATAAATAAGTAAAAAAAATAAAAAAATAAAGAGGCTTTAATTTCTTAGTGCAATACATTATATATGTGAGCCTGGAGCACAAAAGCAGTGTTAAGTCGCTGGGGGATATTTGTAGCAATAGCCAACAATACATTGTATGGATCACAATTATACATTTCTCTTTTATGCCAAAAATCATTAGGATATTAAGTAAAGATCATGTTCCATGAAGATATTTTGTCAATTTCCTACCGTAAATATATCAACTTAATTATTGATTAGTAATATGCATTGCTAAGAACTTCATTTGAACAACTTTAAAGATGATTTTCTCAATATTTAGATTTTTTTGCACCCTCAGATTCCAGATTTTCAAATAGTTGTATCTCGGCCAAATATTGTCCTATTATTTATTCAGCTTTCAGATGATGTATAAATTAAAATTTTGAAAAAATGACACTTAAAGGGTTAGTTCACCCCAAAATGAAAATTAGGCTGCATTTTACTCACCCCCGATGCATCCGGAGCCATGTGAGTCACTTTTATTTATGGAAAGGTGCTTTTTATTTCACGTCTTTTGGACAGAAGCAATGCAACACCCGCTGAGTGCAATGATAGAGCTTGAAAGATCAAAGACAATTTTTAATATAACTCCGACTGGATTCGTCTGAAAGAAGAAAGTCATAAACACCTAGGATGCTTCGGGGGTGAGTAAAACGCAGCCTAATTTTCATTTTTGGGTGCACTAACCCTTTAAGGCTGGTTTTGTGGTCCAGGGTCACATATAGTATATTATATTTTCTTATATCTTTCTTTAGCTTTTGGGTCAAATCTGACCTGGACATGTCTGTACAGTAATGTTGTGGTGTGTGTGTGTGTTTCTGTCTCTGTGTGTGTGTGTGTGTGTGTG